GCTGGTCAAAGGTCAGGGTCACTGTGACCTCGTTTTGTGACCTCTTGTGAGCGAGTTATCTTAAGAACACCTTGAAGAAATGTCTTTAAATTTTGCACAAACAGCCACTTGGATTCAAGAATAAAATGATTGCAATTTGATGGTCAAAGGTCAAGGTCACTGTGACCTCACAAAACATGTTTTTAGCCATAACTCAAGAATTGTTACGCTACCTATGACAGGATTTCACACAAATGTCCAATAGGATACAATCATTAAGTAATGATGCTGCATATCCAAATCGTCAAAGGTCAACTTCACTGCGACATCATAAAAAAACAAAACGAACGAACCGTATCTTTGAACCGGCTCTTCAAAATGAACGAGAGCCAAAGAACTGGCTCTCACAAGTGAACGAGAAATCCCATCACTATCAGGAAGATAGTGAATTGGTGACACTACTCTTGGGTGTCCACCTTGAAACTGTGCCAGGGGGAAGATGTGTGTGAAGCATCCGTGTTTTCACAGACACAGATGTAAACTGTAAGATAAACTTGACTGGTTGGTTCACAGAGGCATACGTAATCAATTCCAATTATGTTTGCAGATAAATAGCAGTAGGGAAATTGGGGCCATTTCCTCAGTAAACAGTACCTGGTCCTTATGAAAAGTCTTTAAAGCGTGACATGTGGATCATTGTTTTTGACTATGCCTAAGATATTTCATGAAGGCAGCAGGAGATGTGCTTTGTTTTGCACTACATGAAAAAGGATTAGCTGAACATACTAGTGAAACAATGAGTAACAGGAAACTTTGTGGGTGTGCATCTGATTTCCCATCGCTGGTCCCCCTGTTTTTTGTCCTTTGTAAGCAGCCATCAAACATTTAAAAGATAATGGGTGGTCAATATTTACATTTTACTCCATATATTTCATTTTATATATACTGTTGGATGGAATCCTGGAAGAAATTGATGAAATGAATAACATTTTGTGAAAGGCTGTTACATCATGATCCTTAAAGGTCTAGTGTGTAGGATTTAGTGCCATGTAGTGGTGAAGTTGCACAACTGTAACTTCTCCCTTGTGCCAAGCGTGTGGGAAAACTAAAGAAGGTGATGTGAAGACATAAAAATGCATATGTTTCTATCTAGAGCCAGTGTTTGGTTTGTCCATTCTGGGCTACTGTAGAATAACATGGCCAACACCATGGAAAAGGACCTGCTCCATATATAAACTAAGAGCTCATTGTAAGGTAACAAAAACACAATTCTTAATATCATTGATTGTAAACTAATGAAAACATGGTTAGGAAATCTATATACCATTTCTACTAATATATCCCCCTGAATCCTACACACTTAAAGTAAACTTCACAATATTTTTTGATGCAGTTTTTAATTTATACATGCATAATTTGCATGATTTAGCCAATAAACTTCACACAAGAGAGGCTGTCTGACTCTGGTCCTTGGGGTGGGGTTTGTTGCAGCACCCTCATCACGTTTCCTACCTGTGGTTGAGAGGGTTTGAAAAGAACTTCACTTCTATTGTAGCTTTTTTCCCCTTTTTTTTAAAACATATTTAAAAAGTTGAATATATGCATAAATGTAATTAAAGAGTGGAACATTTTGACATCTGAATGGTTTCTGTAACTGAAAGTATGCAGAAGTAGCAGCTGACCGAAAAATGTATGCAAGAGGAATTAATCATCCGTTACCTTTTGGGACCTTTATTTTGAAAATACAGCCTACTCTTGGATGTCACAGTAAGGACCTGTTAGTGCCTGGAGACATTTGTTTTGAAAATCCAGCATTCAACACAGTCCCTCATGAGTTTTTTTGTCCATAGTCTGTGGATTTTTATTTTGAAAATCCATCCTAATCGGAGAAGTCCTAACTAAAAAAGACCAATCACAGACAAGATGATAAAACAGCACTCAAATGGACATTTATAAAGGATGAATGATTGCAGAGCTGTTGTCCTAGACTGCACCAGTTTTTCCCTAGATCATAGTGTCTCAAAGTGTGGCCTGTGGGCCAGTGGCGGCCCTCAGAAACATTCTGTGCGGCCCCTGAACTTGAAATGAAATAAATGCAATGACAAACATACACCGTAGCATTTGCTTTATTGTAACTGCAAAGCTTTGCAACAATGACAGACAGCTCGTAGGATGCAGGCAGGTCACAGAGAAGTCATGACGTCTGTGGCCATGCACAGTAAACTATAAACCGAATCAGGCGTATTAAGAGTGGCTCTACCAGAAGAAATGGAGAAAGGATGCAGGCACTTCTATATCAGTGAAGAGAGACAGGAGAGGACGTTCCCTTTGTCACAACATGAACATATTGAGGCGAGTCAATACCATGAGAGTGAAATCATTTACAGTTGTGAGAACAGGGCTCTGAGTTCAGCTCACGCACTAAACATCTCTCAGTTCTCGGTTGTTTTCACTTACTGAACAGGAAGCTTGGAGGAAACTGAAGGAACAACTGGGCGCTGTAACAAAATGTGTTCCTTTAAAACATGATGAACTTTTTCATTCTTGAAAACTGGGACATGTCTTGTTACTTTTCAAGTATGTTGATAAAGGTGATTTAAACTGAGAACATAGGATAACTTGACGCACATATTTTCTTAGTGCAGTCTTTGCTGGACGGAAGCATCACCTGCTGAACATTAATGCAGCCCCACACACACACAAGTCGAGATATTTTCCATATCTAAGAAATGTTTAAAGGTTTAGCTTTCAAATTTACAACAATATGCCTTAAAGGAGCAGTACACTGGATTTAGTGGCATCTAGCAGTAAGACTGCTTTTGGTTTGTCCGGCAGGCCCCCAGGAAGTGTGCTGGGCTTTCAAGCCAATTTTTGTAGTTGCCAAATAGTGTAATTACAACTTCCGAGTCCATAATGTGATGCACTGGGGCCCAAGAAGCCTTTTTGCCATAGACTTAGATTGTGAAAAACTGGATACAATTTTTGAGACTTACAACTGCCACAAAATGACTTGTCTCACCCGTAGGGATTTGATCCATTCAATAACACTTCTAACACTAATTAACTTTTGGAATGCAGCAACGCGCACCTCATGTCACGTGATGAGGGACAACCAATCATAGCCAACAGATATTTTCCCTTTCTTCCGTAAACATAAGTCTGTGGTGAATATGAGGGAGACGTTGATCATTCTCGTGCAGGGATACTCAAGGCTTTACATCTGTCCAAAAGACATAATCTTAGGCCCACTACACACTCAAAGAACACCAGGAAGAAGATCAGCTCTGCACTTGGGATTACAGTCAAGTAGGCTGTAATACAGTGCTGGTTATGGTTGCTTAGAAACCTCAGAAACAACCTAGGCAGTTGGCAAGACTAGCACCCAGCACCCAACCTGGCATTTTCCAGGTGGTTAAGGACGCGGCAGGTATCCCAACCAAATGGGTGCAACACGGCAAACCAGCTCCCTGTGGAGATATGAACAGCTCATTCCACAATAACAAAAACACAAGTCTTATTTCCAGGTGATCCAAATCCTCCACACTGCTCCTTTAAGTATTGTATGTTGTTGTTGTTCTGAGGAAGTGCAACCATCAATCATCTACTTCATAATGTCTGTCTGATTTCACTCTGTCAGACCACTGAGGGATGTGCAAATAGCTTTCAATAATCTGATGTTTGACAGGTCAGTGAACAATCTTTAGTTTAGATTTTGTCCCAGTTCTCCAGAATGGCACTTTCATTAACCTAATGGACCAAAAGTCAATTTCTCCGGTCTGAACTCAAAGAGAAGCCCCGGTTGAACACAACACTATCTGAGGAATGTTGCTTAATGAAGAGTCTCAGCTCTGTGGACAGAAATGTAGCAAAAGATAAAACAAAAAAAACAAAACAATCCAACAAAAAAATCAGAATAAATACATTTTCACAAGTACGTACGAAGGTTCGGTGTGTTAATACGGGTTGGTGAGGACGCCTCCTCACTGACTGAAGAGAAGATGAGACCGGAGAAGATTAAGCTGTGCTGGGAATCCAGGGCCTATTGTCTGGTGCTTATATGAGCCACAGTTTGTGCATACTGTGTCATCTATACATTTTAGAGAATTGCATTGAAGAAAACATTCAAGTCATGGAAATAAAGATCTCTTATAATCTAAAAAACAGGTTTCACTATCAGACACATGCCAGAAAAGCTTGTTTACGCTTCTGAGCTCTCATCCGCCTCTGCTCACTTTCCATGTCATGAATTCATTCTCATAATAAGTCGTTCTACTACTATGAATGGGTAAAAGAGAGTGACAATTTTCCAGGGATAGACGCGAGAACTGTGATGATGAGATACTTCAAGCTGTAGTTATGCCAAAAATGTATTGGTATCGCAAAAAAACACAAAGCTATTTGTTGGGGTTTTGTGTTTTGGTACACTTCCCATCATGCTTTGGGTGATGTAAACAGGAAGTATAATGTTGCCAACAAGTACAGATATTGCCATGGCAATAATCACTTGATTATCATTGTTGATACAAAAGAAAAAAAGTTATCTGAAGATATGCAGATCATCTTATTCTATGATTTCTTAGGGGTTTATGGATGTTTATTCTTAAAGGGACAGTTCACCCTGAAATCAAAAACACTTCGCCAGTCTTATCACCGTGCAGAAGGAAGCAAGCGTCTACTGCTAGCTAACGTTACAGCTTAGCTGTGGAGGATGCCGTTAGTGTTTTCATGTTCTGTCATGTTCACGAGTCTCTCGTTGATGAGTAGATGCACTCTTCCTTCTTCTTCCTTAATGGGTGTAGATTGGCAAAATAAAAAAATAGCTCCTACATGAAGCTGCTCACAACAAGGTCTGTGGATTATCTTGAGTAACCAGGTCATGATTTCCAGAAAGAGACATTGCTGTTGAGTTTTTAATTTTATTTTTTTGGTGCTTTGAGCACCACAAGCTGAGTGCCATCTAGTTCCATTATATTGGAAAGCAGGCAGACATTTCTATGGCTGATATCGCCAACACTCTGCAACTCACACCAAAACAATTTAGACTAATAAATAGCACTATGGGTAAGAAGAAAAAATTGTATTTTTGATTTTTGGGTGAACTGTCCCTTTAATGTACACATAGAGATACTGTATACAGCATGTGTACGATGTGTGTTCTCTTTTGACAGAGTAACCATTTTTTCCACACAGATTGCATCTGTTAGGTTCAAAGGGTTATAACCTGCCAGAGGTTGATAAACTATTATTGTTATATTTGATGAAAATGTGGCTTCTTTCTGTGACTCAAATGTTCTCTTCAATGCAAAAGTCTTAAAATGTATAAATGTGTACATGGTACAAACTGCAGCTGTTCTTCCACCAGCCTGGTGCTTTTCGTCACTTCTCTTACACACACACCTCAGGTCACAGAGGTGCGCGCACATTAACACACAATGTCAGTATTGTCTGGAGGATGGAGGTGAACCAACATCACTGCCACACCAGTTCCCTTCCTGCTCACACTTTGTCCAGCAGGGTGGAGTCGGCCTCCACTGCAGGAGGACTCAGTTCACACAGGTAGAAGAGCGTGTCGGCACTGGCCTCCGCCTCCGTCAGAGGCTCCAGGCGGATCAGGGAGCTGCGAGCCAGCTGCTTCGACTCCAGGCTGTTTTCAAGCAGCTCTGAGGGTGGCTCGTCCTCCACAGAAGCACTGCAGCTGGAAGAGGGCTGGAGGTGGGTGTTATAGGAGGAGGCGGCGCTGCTGCTGCTGCCGCCGCCGGCCAGCTCCAGCTCTGGATGAGAAATACAGCCATCGAGGAAAGCCAGCAAGGGGCAGGAGGTGTACTGGATCAACTGCTTGTCTGAACACAAGACACAGTGCGTCAGCCTGGACTGTATCCAATCTAACACACCTTCATGAATGTATTCACTTCCTTTGATATTTTGTTGAATCCTTTCATAGCCAGACTCCACTGACAAAACCAGTCATTTTACCTGGCTGGATCCGGGAGCTGCTGGTCTACGGCTGCCTCCATCAGCTAGTTTGTTTGTGTTATTGTGTGACTTTGGTGAATCTGACCTGTCTGAGCATGCTCTACTCACCTGTGTTGGCTTCCTCTGTCTTGCCTCTGTTTAACTGTGTGGGGTTCTCTTTGGAGGAAATACTTTCCTGAACACACACACACACACACACACACACACACACAGAGGAAATGAGTTAAAAAATAGCTTCAAGCACAACAAAACATAACACACAATATTAAAAATACAGAGGTGGATTAAAGGATGGATTTATCTTTCTTACACACATGGCCATATGTACATTAAAAGAGTAACTGGTCACCAAAATCATTCCTTCTGTCCATACTGGTCCTAAGTAAATCCCTTACTTATGTGGTTTTATAACCAGTTCTGCCATGTTGCCTTGTGGGGAAGTGTCTGTTCAGTGTCTGTACAGTGTGATACAAGTGTGTTGAAGTGATACTTATTTCTATAATGAAAACAGTTTATCAAAGTTGCCAGTAAGCACAATGCTCCCTCAGTGCCCAGAAAGAAGATTTTTTTCTGTCTTTGATACTTGGAGTACTGTCTGCTCAGAATAAATGAGAATAAACAGATCGTTATGGACTTGTTTTTTTTTCCCACTCAGACTGAACCGTGACATCTGTGTACCCTGTTATGAGTGGTATGTTTGTCAGCTTATCCACAGTGCTGAAATAAAAACCATTAGAAATGTCATGTTGTTGATCAGGTGAGTGTTCTTTGGTTTAGTGTGTAAGTGATGTTGTTTTACCTCTAGTGCGTCAATGCCAAACTGTTTTCCAAAAACCAGGGCCTGGAAGTCCTCCAGACTGCAGTCAATACTGTCCAGATAGTCCATCAGCTCCATCCTGACAACACACACACACACACACACACACACACACACACACACACACACACACGGTGTGAGGCAGTCTTACTACTATGGTTCATATCATTATGTATTTTGCAACAACCACAGCATAAACAACTGTAAAATAGAAGTTAAGAAAAACCAAATACTATGGGTCAGAATCCCTCTCATGTCACCAGGCATGATGGTTTTAGGAGGATGAACAAAGGCTATTTCAGCTTAAATAAGGTTTGGCTTTCTCATTAACTTTTATCACTTCTTTAAAATTTAATTTCTTTGTTTTTGTACAAAATTATAATCTTACTACGTAATGATGGAAACTCTGTCTGTTCCACATTTTTCTTGTCACTGACTTAGTCAATCCATGTGAAATTTGGCACAGTGGTAGAGGGTCATGGGAGGATGTGAATGAAGCAATATTACATCAATTGGCCAAAGGGGGCGCTATAGCAACCGATTGAAATTGCAAACTTTGAATGGGCATGTCTCATGCCCCGTATGTTGTAGAGACATGAAACTTTGCACAGAGATGCCTCTCCTCATGAGGAACAAATCTGCCTCAAGAACCTATAACTTCCGGTTATATACATTTTCCGCCATTTTGCATTTTTTGAAAAACACTTAAAATCGATCTTTTCCTAGGAAGTTTGACCGATCTGCATGAAACTCGGTGAACATAATCTAGGGACCAATATCTAAAGTTCCCTCTTGGCAAAAGTTGGAAAACTTACTAAAACTGAACTTCTATAAGGCAATGAATAATGCGGAGGGCGTGGCTCATCACATAAAGGTGTATAACATCTCAAGGGTTTCACCGATCACCACGCAACTTTGTAGGCATATGACCACACATAATCTGAGGGGACCCCTCCATTATTGACCCCATCAAACAAAACGAGGGCGCTAGAGAGCTAATTTCTTATCTAGGCCTAACCCCCATTTTGATTTTTACTAAAGTTGGTAGATATGTAGAATAGGACTCCTCAAGGTGACTGGAGAAATTGAACTCTAATTGGCAACTGGGTGGCGCTATAACAACAGAAAAATGCTTAAAAACGGCTAAAATGCGACCAATCACTGTGGCTCCCCCTGTGGATGAATGTTTTTGTTTTTTTTCAAATTTTTGGTATGACTAAGTCATGGTATGGTATGCTGTACATAATCACGGAAACTGTCAGTGTGTCATTCTGTCAGTCAGTCATTCTGTCTGTCCCACGTTTTTCTACTCACTGACGTGGTCAATCTATGTGAAACTGCACATAGGCATTGAGGATTGGCATAGGTAGAAGGTGACAAAGCTACCAATGGGTATGGACTAGTTTATAAGAAAAGGCAAAAGAATGATTAGAAAAAGAATAAAAGAATTATACTGTGGTTGGCACTTACTTGCCCAGCAAGTTGATGTTCTGTGATATTGCTCCGTTCTCGTTCAGTATGGAGTCCATCATCTTGACGGGGTCCTCGAAATTCAGGCCTGAGAGTTTATTGAGCTGCACGGCGCTGCTGGTTGGTCCACTGCCATCTGAAGCGCTGCTCCTCTGGCTGTCGTCTGCTGCTGCTGCAGCTGCTGCTGCTACTGCTGACACACAATCCTCTGTCTGTTTGATGTCATCTGTGCGGGTGGTGCTCACCTCCGTCTCAGCTGGAAGCACCGCACAGCTGTCCAACTCTACTTCCACGATTTCTACATCACTGAGGGAGAACAGTTTCAAACAGCATTACATTAAGAGAGATACTGCTGACTATTTGATGTCAACTTATTCAGAGGTTTTGTAGTAATGAGATCCCCTCTCACTGCTTTTGCATTTATGGATGCACTGCATCAAACACACCTTTAGAAGTTCTACATCTTTTGCCATGAATTCATAATCTGATGAGTTTTGTGGGGGCCAAAACTTTAGTTTGATGTACTGATTCAATAAATGTGTTGAATCAATATAACAGATGGAATATATGGAGCTCCTCTCTTATACACCTGCTTAAGAAATACTAGGTGTGCAAGTTTTTCCCTAACTTATTCAAAAGTAACTATACATATAGAAAGCCTTGTTACTCGGAGCTAAACTGAATTGACAAGTTAGACATAATCATGAGCTGTATTTTGCTTGAGGGAATGGGAATCTTTCTCACAACAACTTGCTATTTTACTAGGCATCAAAACACTAATAGTTGACTCAGGAGAGCATCGTTGCAAAACAGAAACTTTCCATCTGTCTTAAGTTCAGACCAAAGATTCATAACGAAACAAGCTGGAACATACAACTACCTGCAATGCGTCGTTTTGCAACGTTCTAAAAGCTGCCGGTTCACACCAATGCAACTAGATGAGACGGTGTATCATCACTATGCAACAACTATCTGTAAGCACCGTCTAACACCGGCACACCATGAGGACAAAAACAGAGAGCTCGGTGGGAACGAAGGAACTGCCACATCAAGCCAGCACGCCGTCTGCCATCATTTTGACTTGACCAGCTGACCTCGCTACAAGCTGATTTGCTGTTGGAACAGGTGAAGTGCTTTACATTCTAAAACCAGCCACCAACGATTTGACCAACAGAGTTGCAGGTGAGTCAAGCTCAGATTAGCCAATTCGCACTGCTGCAACTTTTGCCTGCAATGTTCTACAACAGTCTAGTCTCGTTACGAATCTTTGGTCTGAACTGGGCTTTACAGGTGTTCGCCTCATGTAGAACATGTGGCAGTCTGAAGGCATAACAGTGACTGTCACCTAATCAAGGAGTCAAAGGTAAATAGTCTTACCCTTGCTCGTAGGCTCTGGGTGACTCCTCTGTGATCTCAGCTCCCACCTCGGCATCATTGTCAGTCACGTCACAGATTATGACGTCATCTGACATCTCAGAGCTCTTCACACCACTCAGACTGCTGACAGACGACTAAACAGGACGCACAGTCAAAAGCTGGACTTCAAAAAGTTTTTCCTCAGAACTATTCTCATACAACACATCACCTATTCAATATCATCAATTCAACAGCAAAAAAAAAAAAGAATACTGGTTGACAAGTGTCCAGCAAAGGTAATACTTACTGAATACCATGTCTAGATGTCACTATGTACTAGTCTTGGGTGGTATTACTGTAGGCGATATCATGCTATTTAGAAATCCTGATGGCATGATTTTTAATACTGTCAAAAATACAGACGCTTCTCTTCTTATTTAACTCATATAGAGAGGCTGGACTGACGATGCATTGTGTACAGTCCACATCACGCGCCGTCACAGGTCAGTCTCTACTGGTGGAACAGGCAACTAAGCTGATAGATATGAGGAATGGGGATAACGTTACAGGACTGTAAACAGCAGCGAGAGACTGCAGGGTAAAACAAAATATTTTCACATCTAACTTCTCGAATTAAGGTTTTATTTCAGCCAAACCAGAGGTGGTGATTGTTGTGGACTAACTAACCAAACAACTACCAAGACTAACTAAGACAGTTTTGCTGAGCTTTGTTTCTACTGAGTTTAAATGAAGTGTGTTTTAGGATGGGTTAACAAGGCAGTTCAGGTAGTCTGAGTTCGGTGCGCGGTTGTATTTCTCTGTTTAGTAAGGAAAATAGATACAAGAATATTTCCTTTCTTGACATGTTGTGAATTTATTGTTTATTTATTAGACTGAAAAACACAGTTTGTATAACGCAGCGTCACACAAAAACCGTCATATACCGTATACCCTGGTGAAATTTCAGAGGGTATGAAAAAATAGATACCACCCAAGCCTACAAGGCACTGCGATTCACTGACCTGTTCCACACACACTTTGTCATCATACATCTGATGAATGTATTTGGGCTTCTTTCCATTGCTGTTCATGAGAACTGGCCTGTTAAAAGAACGAGAACACGTCAACAAATCATTAGTTCATACAAAATAGAATTTACATTATGATAGTGCTGAAACTGAATTGTGATCGTGTGAGCTACCAAATTCACACCACAATGTTAGATAATATATAAAATCTGCCAGTGTTATGCTGCCATACCATAACTTTGACGGCTCTCTGTATTTCATAAGGTGACTACTTTGGTACTGGCTTACTGGGAACACTCACCCATTAATTATCAGTACTGACCATCGATGCTGCTCTAACAGGTGCAGGGACTGTAAATTTGGAGGGTCAGTCATTTAAAGGAGCAGTAACACAGCGTGAACTCACCTTTTGCGTTTTAAATTCAGGATGCGATTGTTCTGTACCAATGTGACGATGAAGTGTACCAGCTGAAAAGAGAAGAGTCATTATTTAGCAGAAAACGCAAAAGGGTTAGCAGCTCAGATGCCAACGATGAACTTAACACCTGCTGACTGTGGTTACATTAGCCCTCATCACATAATCAAAGATGGTTCTACTGGGTGGGATGCACTATTCACAAAAGTAGCTGAAAATGCTCATGATGACTAAAGCAGGAGACATGCATAGTGTATAAATACTCTAAAAAAATGGGGCTGACACCTTGTGGTCAGTTGGTCTATTGGCTGGTCGATATGCTCATGTCCAAATCTCACTGGTTGGACAATTGCTGGTGTTTCTTACACAAGGTCGTGTGTCCACCAAAGCATTTTTTCTGGTTGAAAATGCTATGCGCTCTTCTGAAAACACCCAACAGGTAGCAATTTAGGGTGTTTGTTGGTGCAGTGTTTTTTTGGTTGCATCTGTTTGATCTGGATGAAAGTAAGGCTGAAGCATGTATGGAGAGAGGACAAATGAGCACTGCTGGTCACACAGACCAGAAAAAAATGCCATAAGTGCAGCGCTCAGCACAGAATAGATGCTCAGTGTCTCATCATGGTGCTGTGATTGTAGCATAGCGTAAATTCGGATGTCCAATTGCAACACTTGCATCAGTGGGGAAGAAAAACAACGCTTTGGTGGACACATAACGCTACCAGGTAGAGTGCACTGTGGCAGATTTAGTTCTAGAGATAGAGTGTAGATGTTTTTCCTCATTGACTGATAGACTGGTTAAAGAGAAGACAGAAACCAAGATTCTTCTTGGCTGATTGGAGCCCTGCTAATCTGTCACTGTTTAGATAACAAACATTCTTCTGTTCAATGAACTGTGAAGTGATTCAACTACCCCAACAAACTGCAACTTTCTTTCAGAAAAAATGGTGTCATGCATGTGATAACGTCCTGATAGTATAAACTGATAGGTCCAGGAAGTGCTCACCTTTTTGATGAGCTGTTGTTGGTGGGCATGTTTCTGTCTCAGATCTGAGATCTCCCTCCACAGAGCTTCATTCTCCCTGAACAACAAAACAAAGTCAACTTTGAGCTTCATTCTCATTTTTGTTAAATGACAATCTTCAGTGTTAATGCAGGAATTAGTTTCTGATATGTCATCAGGAAAGTGTTCACTCAACGCCAATGCTGGAGTAGTTGTGGTGGTGGTGCATTGATGTGATGCCCTGCACAGAGCTTTACACTAACCTCTTGAGTGTTGCCAGCCTTACGTCCATGTTCTCCTGTTTGCTGTGAACACTCTGAACACTCGCCAAGATCTTGGTCAGGTCTTCTTGTCGAATCTTGTTTTCCTCTGGCCGAGTGTTAGAAACCTGAATAAAAGGCACTGGGATCAGTGTGCAAGGTTTCTGTGCGTAACGATTGTTTTTTGGATGACAGATTAGGCCTCAATACATACACACACGCAGTGGAGCAGAAGGGAGACAGGTGAAGTGGGGATAACATTTTTGGTACTGGTTACAAGCAAGCTAGGTAGCGAATGACATTATGCTAATGTGCTGACAGATTCTGTGTTTTCAGCTAATCTAAATCAGAGAATATTCAGTTTAAAACTGATACTGATGCTGTTTTACCCATATTGATCTCTCTGAAATTTTGAAAGTGATATAATGTAGGCCTTGTGTGTTTGATGTTGAGTGTGTTCTCCGCCTTTTGTATTCTGCATTGCTTATCAGCAACTGGTCATATGGTGAGGTAAGAGGCAATTTGGCTTCATGTGCTTTATATGCAGTTAAAGCACCAGTCATAATTTTGTTTTAATGATAAGCCAGCTCCTGGATTTTGCTTCTGGTGTTCTGCACCACTGTTTTGATCTAATGGATGTAATTTGGTGTTGTCGGGTTTTGAGTGTTTTTTGAGTCATAAAGTCAAGGTAATGCATTTTTTTTTGGTAATGCCAGGATTCACTGAGTCTTTGGCTACATTTTAAATGATTAATTCTGTTGACAACTGAATGTGGAGATGGCTCCACCTTACCTTCCTTTTGATGTTCTCCAGCAGGTTGTCCTGTCCATGTTTGAAGTAGGGGTGCTGAAACTCCACTGGACCGTCTCTCTCCTGTTTCACAATGCCTGTGTCAATGTGCATCACTTTACGGAATCCATCTGCAGACACACACACACACGTACACATGCACACACATAGAGGTAAACAGATTTGAAAACATTACACAACAACAATAACCAGACCCTCCAACATTTATGTACATACATACAAATGTATTTAAGGGTACTCAGTATCTAGTCAGCACAAGATATCCTAATGTAGAGCTATCTTTGCTACAGTGGTAGCATAGAGCTTATAGTGGTATGAAACTGAGAAGGTGATGATGTGTAATGTACACTGATACAGTGGCATGCAAAGGTTTGGGCATCCCCAGTCAAAATCAATTTTACTGTGAATAGTTAAGTGAGTAGGAGACGGACTGATCTGCAAAATACATGAAGTTAGAGATGAAAGATGCTTTTCAACACTTGAAACAAGATCAGTGTGTTACTTTTGTTTTGTACAATTTCAGAGTGAACAAAAGGAAAGGAGCACCATGCAAAAGTTTGGGCACCCCAAGACATTTGAGCTCTCAGACAATGACTGTTAGGGCTATGGATTGCTCACAGTCATTTTTAAGAAAGGCCAGGTGATGCAAATTTCAAAGCTTTATAAACACTCTTGACTCCTGAAACCTTGTCCCAACAATCAGCAGCCACGGACTCCTCTAAACAGCTGCCTAGCACTCTGAAAACTAAAATAACTGATGCCCACAAAGCATGTCTGCAACAATTAGTCGACTAATTGACTATTAAAATAATCAGTGACTATTTTAGTAGTCGACTAATCGGTTTGAGTCTTTTTTCATAGAAAAGTACTATAAAAGTACCCCAAAATACTCTTACTGCAGCTTCTTACGTTCAGATATTGGCAGCTTAACACACTCTCCCATGACGGTGAACTAAAACCCTTTGGCGTGAGTACGAAACAAGACATTAGATGACATAATTTTGGGGTTTGGGAGAGACAGACAGACATTTTTCAACATTTCAACACATTTTTCTATAAAATGATTAGTCGACTAATCGAAGAAATAATCGACAGATTAGTTGACAGTGAAAATAATCGTTAGTGGCAGCCCTACCACAAAGCAGGAGAAGGCAATACGAATACAGCAAAGTGCTTTCAGGTAACCAATTCCTCAGTTTTTCTAATGTAATATTAAAAAATGACAGTTAACAGGGACTGTGGAGGTCAAGTTGAGGTCTGGAAGACCAAGAAAACTTTCCTGGAGGTCGGAGGATTGACAGGCAAATCAAAACCCTTTCTGGCTGCAAAAGACCTGCAGGAAGATTTATCAGACTCTGGAAGAGTGGTGCACTGTTCTACTGTGCAGTGACACCTATATAAAAATTTGACCTTCATGTAAGAGTCACCAGAAGAAAACCTTTCCTTTGTCCTCACCACAAAAATCAGCGACAGCAGTTTACAAAGAAATATCTAAACAAGCCTGATGCTTTGTGCCGAATTTCCTGTCCAACTGTTGAGCGCGGGCGTGGATGGATCATGCTTTGGGCTTGTGTTGCAGCCAGTGGCACAGGAACATTTCACAGGTAGAGTGAAGAATGGATTCAATTTCAGCAAATTCTGGAAGCAAACATCACACCATCTGTAAAAAAGCTGAAGTTGAAGAGAGGATGGCTTCTACAACAGGACAATGATCCTACACACACCTAAAATTCCACAGTGGACTACCTCAAGAGGAGCCAGCTGAAGGTTTTGCCGAGGCTCTCACAGTCCCCCGACCTAAATATCATTTAGAATCTGTGGATAGACCTCAAAAAGCAGTGCATGCAAGATGGCCCAAGAATCCCACAGAGCTAGAAGCCTTTTATAAAAGAAGAGTGGGTGAAAATCCTCCAAACAAAAACCGAAAGACTCTTAGCTGGCTACAAAAATCATTTAAAAGCTGTGACACTTGCCACAAGGAGTGCTGCTAAGTATGCATGTAGGGTGCCCAAACTTTTGCTTCAGGCCCTTTTCCTTTTTTGTTATTTTGAAACTGTAAAAGACTTAGTTAAAAAGTAATCTGCTTAAAAAATTTGAAGAAATGTGTCCTCTTTAACTTCATGCCTTTTAGAGATCAGTTCATCTTCTACTTAGTTAACCATTAACAGTAAACAAAATTTTGAGTATGGGTGCCCAAACTTCTGCATGCCACTGTATTTTTGTATTATCTTGTATTTGGTCTCCCAGAGGGATTGTCAAGAACGAAATAATAGAAACAATGTTTGGTATAGTGCAATATGACACTATCAAAGTGTCTTAGAACCTCTCGAATACAGTGTCAACAACAACTGCAGATGATTTGCATTGGACTGAATTACACGGAACAGCGTACTTTCTGTTCAAGCAATATGATGGTGTGTACCATGAGACCATATATTGTAAATTAGTCACTTTGACATATTGTTTACACCATGGTAACTATCACTTAAGCATTTCTCATTGTATTTGACTTTTTTGTACAGTTATTCAAACTGCTAAATAGGACTGCTTTATGTCAATATTAGGTTTGTGCATTTGTGTGATGAAGTGATTTCATTTGTCAGGTGCTTAATTCACTGGATTATCTTGAAACGTTCTTCAACATCCCTGTGTAGTTGTTTCTCAAATAATTTTGAAGAAACTTTACATCATGATATCTATAAATATAGCAAAATAAAATCACATATCCACCTTACTCCTAGCCCCCATGATCCCTTACGTGAATTATGTCTGCGACTTCTGGCGTTGAACCGAAACTGGAAATTTCCAATGGTAACAGTTTGTTTACAGTACTCTGTTCTTCTTTCCAAGAGCAATTGGGAAATAAAAGGTGGAACACACCAACTGTTACAGCTCAGACTGGATTATGTGATCATAACTGCCATCTCTGACAGCCATCTCAAAGCACTGTTTGTTTTTCCATTTTCAACCAAGCACGCTAGCAATTAGCTTGCCTTGCTCCGTTAAAATATTGTTAAATTTAACATGGCCCAAGCTAGGTTAAGGTAAACATCTGCTCCTTCAAGATTTCTGATGACTTATTAAGAGATACTAACACATTCGTCAAATATTTAATATAATTCAGCATTAAGCTCCATGTAAAGTGAATAAATGCGATGTTCTAATAATTCTGATTTAATATTTTTTCGATGTCTCGTGAAACTCTTTTAGTTCTCATATCAATGGTACCTTTAGCAACAGGAACAATCCCTTTTTGTTCTGGTTAAATGTTCAACACACAGTTGCTGAAGACAAAACTTTAGCTTAGACTGGTTGTTAGTTGTTACAGACACCGACAGTACAACAGGTACCAGAGCTCCGCAAAGACATTTTAGAAAATGCTAGGTTAACATTAGTTAAATATTTTTAAAAAATAACATCAGTATTTGCTAAACTGAAGGCAAATAACTTTTGAAAAGAACCAGCGTTGGTGGTTAGCCACCAAGAGTAGCCACCGGGACAAACCGCAAACAGTCTATGGGACTAACTAGCTTACTGCTACTTCCACTATCTCACTGTAAGTTGCGTCCATAATCATTAATACAGTAGTGCCCTCAGGAATAAGGTGGATACTGTGATAAAGGATTTCATCCATATTGCCCTCCGCTGTGAAATCATGTAAATTTGGTCTCATGTAATGCATAAACTGTGGAGCACAGTTAATGGATTTGAACATTGCTTTAATTATAGGTAATATTGAACATTTTTGCTACACTGTGATATATATCTGTGTCAGGTCATACGTACTGCAAATCTCTACCTCTGGCTGCCATTATTCAGTCACTTTAAAATCACCCTTAATCACATATTTAAAGCCAAACCAGAGAGTCAGCACCGGACCTCTCAACTGTGAATCCTGCTGATGATTAGAAAGTAACTCCGTCCAAGAGATGATTAAATGTTTGCACTGTGCCTTGTGGTTACCACGGTTAGCATGGCATTTGCCTGTGCATCTATCCAGCTCTGATTTACACTAAATAAACTCTGATTCTACAGCTGCAGGGAAAATAATTGGCAACTATTTTGATAGCAATTAAATTTGTGTTGTTCTTTTCACGTAAAAATGTCAAACGTTTGCTCATACCATAAGCAATTATAAGACCCATTTCTCACATTTGATAGACAAAATGAATTGATCAGTCAATTAAATAATTTGCACATTCTTTGATAGTGAAAATAATCTGTAGTCACAGCCCTACCTGGATCCTTCACTGCTGTTTGGCTAGATGTGGAAGTAGGTCAGTGCTAGGACAATCACCTGCTGGGCTGGTTAACTGCTTATCATCGTTGCATTAACACCAGATCTGACAGTACTGGTTTTCTGGGTAATGTGTCACTATGTAGCAGCCATTTTGGTTATGAGTGTGGCTGCAGACAAACCCAGCAAAGCCAGAATCAAACAGCTCTATCCAGCAGACACCTTGAGCCACCGTAAAATCACTGCACAAACCACTAACACAAAGTGGGACAAAGCGATGGATGCAGACTTACACATGTTGAGCTGCCTGATGAAACTTGCCATGTTGTTGTGCTTGAAGAACTTGGGCAGGATCTCCTTGGCAAAGTGCTGCTCATCCAACACCAGGAAACTGTTGCCCTCCTGAGAACAATAAGCAGCAGTACCATGACAGTCAGAGGACCACTGATCTATTTTAGTCTAATTTCACTTCACGCTCCTAAACTGTGCACGCATGCACACACGCGCGCGCGCGCGCGCACACACACACACACACACACACAAGTAGCTTTATGGTGACTCGGTGCCAAAAATTTAGAGAGGAACTGATGCTGGCATGACGCAGAGACTGGATTTGGCTTAGTTACGTTATGCTAGCTAGCCAGCAGGTAACGTTACACAATGAAGGGGAATAACTAGCTAGCGTAACTAACTAGCGTAAAATGGGAGGTTGTTGAACCCTGCGTGTTCATTGTTATTGGCGTGGCGTGGCGAGGTGCTGTACATGCTAGGTTAACTCAAGGCTAATCTCACAGGCTAGCTGTTTTTCTGCTCAGCGTTAACGTTAGCTTTAATAACTGCCACGCTAGCTAACGGTTTCCAGCTGTAGCGTTACCTGACTCCAGCAGATGAATTCATTGGTGTCTGCATCCTCGACTAGCGTCCACAGCTTGGTGAGGAAAGCCGGGACGTTGGAGTTGTGTTTCATCTCGCGAATTAAAAGAAAACAACACCTTGACTGAACAGCTGGCCAAGTCTGTTGCTCTGAGGAAAAACACCAAAGGCTTACTACTTCCGGTTCCGGTGAACGCCAGCGGATTGGTCGACACTTGTTTTTACGTAAGACTCCTCACGTGTAGCTCCATGCAAACAAAAAGATAGTTGGCACACTTTATTCAAAATAAAGAGGTCAGACATTTACTTAATCTAAAGACTGGAGATGAATCAGTGTGCAGAAACATACAGAGATGGACTCTTAATAAACTGACACAAATATTTTGAGTGGGCCCCTGTGTATTTGTTGTTGCCATGTATGGAAAGGAATTTATCTCCATGTTGCATGTGTGACATCGACAGCCTGTGTGTGTATGTGTAATCTGTAAATATGAAACACCTTCCACAAATACACAAACTGATTTGTAACCTCACAATATTATTTTGCAAATATAAACAGGTCTGCAAATACACAAATATGGAGATAGATTAGTCTCAAATGTATTTGTGTGAGGAGATTGACAATCAGCTATGTGTAATCTGTAAATATAAAACAACTTCCACAAATACAGAAAAAAGATTTGTAAACTCACATATCTCACAGATCTGCAAATACACAAATAAGGAGATAAATTTGTCTCCATAGTATCTGTGTGACTAGACTGACAATCCGTGTATATGTGTAATCTGTAAACAAGAAAACAACTTCCACAAATTCAAAAAAGACTCACAAGACTATTTTGCAAAAATAAAACTTATTTGTAAAAACACATTACCAAAATAATTTAAAAAAAACTGTGTGTGAAATGCAAATCTGCAAATGTAGATCTGAGATTTACCAATAAAAACTGAATTTACAAATACTTTTGACCCTTTTTGTTAACACAGGAAAACCTAAGCCCAGGGCTACACAATTCACACTGCACTCCTGCTAGCCCTGGGCCATGTTTGGGAAGCTACTCTGATAGCATAGCTTTGCGAGCTACCATTTACTTCACCCTGTAAGAAGTTGAACTATAACAACAGAACCCTCGCGATAAATCTAGTTTGGTTAACTAAAGCTACTTGGGAGTAGTTCAAACTACTTTGTAAAAAAAATAAAATAAAATAAAATAAAATAAAATAAAATTGACAATGTACATGTGATGTACAATGTGTGAAATTCTAACAAAATAAAATACAAAAAAAGTTGCATGCCAGCAAAAGATGTAACTAAATTAAGTTTATTGCAAAAACTGCCCACTTGTTTACAGGCCAAAACAAAACAAACAACACCAAAAAACAGTGTCAGTCCACTTGGAATGTCTCAGGACTGTGCCAGTGTGAGCACTTTTTTTGCCTGGGGCTAAGAGCTGTGTGAAAAGCCTAATAAAGAAACACAGCTATGTTACTCCTGGTCTTTTTTTGTAAATCAAAAAGACATATGTGCATAAATCCTGCGTCTACTGAACCTGTCTGCTGCAATAGTTGGAAAGCTTATGCTAACTCTACTGTTTGCTGTCAGTACAAGTGTTAACATACTGCCCCTCCATTATCATCCTTTCAGTCTGGTGGACTGACTCAGCAGGCGTCTGGTGACGACACCTGTTGCTCCAACCTTGTTGTTCAGCTTTTGTTTACTGAACCTGTCTGCTGTCAACACTGCTGAGCATGGTGGCTGATGAAGTCCATGCACCTTTCACCTTACCACAATATTTAAATTCAAAGGGGGGTTTAAGTTATGTTGTATCTTCTGTAATGATGATTGCATTTAATGAGTTAAAGGTATGTAAAAGTAATCCCTGTGAGCAAAAACCTGATAGATTTCTTTATATGGTCATCTGTTCCAAGTACACTACTGCAAGGGTTTACACTGCTACATGTAGCTACATGCTAATATCAGGGAAATATTTAATCTTGTTTGCCGACGCTGTTCATTTCTCCCTGATTTTGGATGATAGTTCTGCTGGTGATTCCTGATGTCTAGTTGTGCAGATTTTTGTTTAGAATCTTTTAATGGTGGTTTTTCATGGCAGAGCGTGCCACTATACCCCTTTAAATTCATTCCCCTGCAGCAACAGAGTGCTCCAAGGATGATGACAAGGATGTTTTTCTTAAGGCTGACACAGAAGTCAGCGTCACCCTGGCCCCCTCATCAAAACTTTTTTTCCATTTGACCTTGAATTATTTTCAGCAATTTTGCTGAAAAGCGTGGTCAGCGTGGGGTTTCTCCAGGTACACAGTCCAAAGACATGCAGGTTGGGGATAGGTTGATTGGTGACTCTAAATTGTCCGTCTGGTGACCTGTCCAGTGCGTACCCCACCTCTCGCCCAATGTCAGCTGGGATTGGCTCCAGCCCCCTCGTGACCCTCAAGAGGATAAGTGGATACAAAAATGGATGGATGGATGGAAGATAATCTTCACAAATGAACGCCACTTCCATGATTATTAAGTCTGAATGCCATGGCCAGAAGTAAAAAGCTAATATTAGGCTATGAGCAAACTGCACTATGGTCATATGACCGAACATCACCACCATAACAAGACTGTAAAGCTGTGTTCAACACAGCTTTACAGTTCTGTAGTCTCATTCAGCCACTTGTTAGCAACCGCCTTTTGTAAGACACATAGAAGCTTCAAAATTCACCAAAACCCATTCAAAAACCCCCACTAACTTTGGGATGAGGGAACTGGAAGCTCTAAAAAGTTAACTCATTTCTGGATTTTAGGACTCATTCCTGGTGGACCCTCTCTTACTGAGTTTGCTAGAGACTGAGATCAACCCAGAGAGCTCTGCTGTTGTTACTTTGTGATGTATGCAGTTTAACTTCAAAGTTACAACTGCACAGATTGTAACACATCTAACACATTATATGTGCAACAGTGAAATTACATCTGCAGTTCTCTGTCATTGTTATTTTTATAGCTGTATGTCTTTTTGTTGTTTTTAATATTTATGATTATTTTGTTCACTTAAACAATCAATGATCCTATTACTTCTGTTTGGTCTTCAGTTACTTGAATGTGCTGTTATCTATCATTGTGACTTCTGACTTCTGTCAATCAGCTGTCAAACAGCTGTCAAGCTGCCATATGTTTGCTGCTTAGTCAATATCACTTAATGTCCACTGCACAGTGGATTGTGAGTCAGAATAGCCAGAAATGCATGCTGACTTACATACTGCAAATCAAACTGAATGTAGTAGAACATTCTGGTATTTTTTGTATACTGCATTTGACATACTATGTAATGGGTAGTATGGATACTGGAATGCGCTGTCAGACAGGGTAAATATCTGGTATATTCAGGCAGGCAGTAGAGGTGAAAATAAGGAAAGATAAAGGAAAATACATTGAACATGAAAGCATGTAAACATGTTCCAAAGCCCAAATACAAGTATGAACCTGAAAACTAGCAGAACAGGTCCTCTTTACTGTTCGTAAAAACATTTATGAAAGTGTATGTCACCACTTTGCCACTAGATGGAATCCTTTACTCACTGCAAAACCTGGTTGCTGTTAATCTGAACCAGTGTGCTACCAGTTCTGCTGTAAACAATCTGTCTGCCAGTGCTTTATACAGCCTGTCCTCTGTAAGTACAATTAAAGTTAGTCCTGCCTGTCTGCTTTTAGTACTACTAAACCTGTCAGCTTGCTCTAACATCATGTTGATCCCTAATGATGGAGGATCCTGGTGGATACAACTCAGGTGGGTTTATTAGAGATGTTTTTCCTGACTGATGCAATGTTACATTTCACAACCAAGTAAAACTCAAATATCTGAGGTCACACAGTAAATTGTTAGATACTGGCTGAAGCCTTTATTTACCTTCACTGCACTTTAGATAAAACCGGGGCATTTATTTGTGACAGGATAATAGAGGCAGGCTGCGATTCTGAATTCCTCCCAGTCATATGTATATAAGTATATTTGATCATACTTTTGTAAGATCCCTCTCTGTTAACTGGTCTGTTTCCATTTATGCTGTTTGCTCTTAATAAAAACTCCTTGTTCACTTCCTCTATCTGTTTCACATTAAAAGTTTTGTAGCTGTTCAGCTGGCGTAATTATCATCATCACTATAATTATTTTTATTTCCATTGTCCTTAATTTTGGACCTTACAATCCACAGATTTTCCCCGAGGACAGAAGTAGGTGTGGGTAAGCTCTCTTCCTTTCACTGTCTGAAAGTTAGTCTGCAGTAAATGAATGCCGGGCAGAGACATTTATACAAGCCTCCTCACAAAACCTCATTCACACCTAAATAAAACTTAAGCAGATAGAGAGGGTTAGACCGGTGTAGTGACTCAGTAGAGGCAGGCCGTGCTGAATTTGAAAGAAGCAGTAAGTGGCTGGGCCTAACTTTCAGGCTAGTAGCCATGACTGCTGAGTGAGGTTGACAAGTGTTGGGCTAATTGGATTGGAGGGTAATATTACATCAAAAGACGTCACCCGCTCCTTTAAAATGGCTGTAATTAGGACATTCTTTAACTCGGACACAGGGGAGATTATGGAAGAGCGGGAATCAGAGCGCATTACAACCACCCAGGTGACACATTCATTTCATAAAGCACAAGATAAACAGTCCTGATAGTATACAGTGGTACTGGTAACACCCTTTTATCTGCAGAGTAAATACACTTCCTAATTGAATATAAATTGGGACGATGATTGTATTAAACAAAAAACACACTGATGCAAGTTTCAGTAGAATTCTAGACAAAAAAGTGAAAATAAAAGGAATGCTTATTGAACATAAACTACAGTTCATAATTCTTCAAACTGAAAAAATAATTCAGCTTAACTTTATAGAGACATGTAGACACAATAATTACATGCATATGACATTGTGTACTGCATAATTATAATGGAAATGGCAATTAAAATAATATGTATTTATAGATGCGTGTTTGCCTTCAACACTGGCCTCGTGGTTTTTTTTCTCCTAAGCCAGTCATTATTGATAGAATTTGGAAATTGCTCACTTTGGTACACCCCGCATTTGTAGTCAACCCCAACCTCACCTGCTTCACCAAATCAAACCAAAGTGTTTTCAGATCTAATGCCCTGGCTGTTTTGTGAATG